TTTTTCCATATACAGTATTTTCGAAAAAAGTGTGTATATGGAAGAGACTACGTAAAAAAAATTGCCAAAAATCAACGGTAATTCCTAGCTACTCAAATTCTAAAAAATCTTAATAAAAAGTTAAAAATGAAAATTTGCTGAATTTTCGTGAGTTTTTCACAAAGTTAAGGAATTATTTATTATATTTTTATGATTTTTGTTGTAGAATCAACCATATTTTTATGAAAAATTTACGGAAAAATATTAGAATAGAAATTGGTGCATATGTTGTGAAAATTCGCTGTGCCAATACTTATTGCCGGCAGTATACATGAAAATAAATACATACAAAAACAAAATTCATGCAAATAAGGAAGCAGCTTATTAGGTATACTAAAACAACAAAAACATATTCATAAAGAGACAATAAAAAACAAAAAAAACGATTAAGTAAATAAAAATGTGGATTGAAAGAAGAAATGCACCAACGAGTTTTAATTGAAATCGAGGAAATGAGAATGGAAAGTAGCTTAGAAAGGAAATGTATGTTAAAATTGATCTTGTACCTAGCAGGAGATTCTTAAAGCACGTAATACGTTTTCTTATACCTGAATACCCATTTTCGCTTTCGAAAATGTCCCTTCCTTATAGAAACACGTTGTCAAAGATTATGGGAGATTTGGTTCTATGCCTAGTTAAGATATTTTTTCGTATGTATATAAAACGATCTTTTTTAACAAGGTGGCACCCCTATTCAAGGAATAAAAAACTTTGAACATCTAGAGGCCAAGCCTTTTCATTTCAAATCTGACTTTTTGTATTTCAACGAACAGATCTTACAATTTTTTAGAGAGGTGGAGAGAAGGTGATACAGATTATATTAAGCAAAACCTCGTCCAAATCTGTGTAGTAATTCTCCATAATAATAACAATAATATATTGGCGCTTACTTATACATACATACATATGTTAGTGTTTGGCCGAGCTTCTCCGATTTGTGGCATGCGCCTTGATGTTGTCTCACAAAAGGGTGGGTGGGACCTACAGTTTTGCGCCGATTGTATTGCAGTTCTAGAGGCTAAGTATTCTCGTTTGACGGTGACGGTCTTCGCTTATTAAGATTGGATGTAGTAATTTCTTAACAGGTGACAACCTTACTCAAAAAAAAATAAAACAATTATGCTTATCTAGAGGCCAATTCCTTGCATTTAACACCTAATTTTTTGTAATCCAACGAACTGCGCGGATCTTATAATTTTTAGACAGGTGGCAACCGATCGAAATTCTAAATACCAAAGGTCACGGCCCCTGTCTGTACAGAATACATATATTAGAGAAAATCTCATCAAAATCCGTTCAGTAGTCAAAGAATCTAGACTTTCCTTTATACTATGTATAGATGTTTGTGTTTAAGACTCAGAAAAGCGTCATACTTCCGACTCTAATAATGGCTCCTAACTTGGACTTGCATTTGCGTGCCCTTCTAAGAAGAATGGGAAATATGGTTCTTTCGAACTCTTTATTGAGCTCATAATGAGTGTTACAACTCAAAATTGTGAGACTTTTCTGACTCTAAATTGAGTCCGAATGTTTATAGGGTATGCACGCGTGGTAATTATATTACAAACGAATTTTGCTTCACCTAATGAGGGGAGCTTGAACAGTTTTGAGCCTAAGGTTTTAAAATAGCTAATAGAAATATAAACAAAAATTTTTTTTTTACTATAAAATCGCCTTATGTTTCAATGCACTTCTTACATTTATCATAAAGAAATTTTAACCCACTGAAAAAATATTCGCTGTCTTTGTCTTCGAAATGCTCGTCTACTGCCATCGTCATTTCTTCTTCATTCGAAATTCTTCGTCCTTGGAGGTTTTTATTCAAATTGGACAACAGAAAGTAATCGCTGGGGGTCAGGTCTGCGCTGAATGGTGAGTGGTAGTCTTGATCAGTAAATGCCTCGCGTAGTGTGTACGGGTGTATTGTCTTGCAAAAACAGGACCCTTTTGGCCTCTACGTTTGTCGAGAACCGCTTAACGCATTTTTTCAGCACATTGTAGTTTTTGTTTAGGAAGATTTTCGATGAACAATGCCCGTGGGTGACCCCTGACCTGGGGTTATCTTCAAGCGACTCCCTTACCCATACACTGTAGACATCTCTTCAACTATTTCCGTCGGTGTGTTGTTATTCTCTAAGAGGAATTTGATGGATGACAGCTCTGACAGCCATTACTGAAAGCGTAATGATGTTAATGACGTAATATTCGGTATTTATACTACTAAGGATATTAGCAATTAGTGACACGCAGGACAAGACATTAATGACACTTAAAGGTACTTAGACTCAAAACTGTTTAGCCTCCCCTCGTATCACAAGTTTTTAGCATTGATTTAAAATTTCCACATTTCGGCGTCAAATTGAATATCATATCGTATCTTGCTAGACTAAGAAAATCGAAATGCGATAAATTTGTAGACAGAGGTTTCACTCCGCATTCATTCTCACAAAGTGTTTGTCCATATTTATGCACTCTAAAAGAATAACAACCCCAGCGGTAAGTAGCAGAATTAAAATTTCAAAAGTACACAATTTAAGACACAATTCCACACACTGCAAGTAAAGCTTTAAGCGAATTAAAGTTAAATGGTTTTAATGTAGGATAACGGTGAAATATCCTTTCAAAGAAAAGCTTTTCCCGGTGCGGATGTTTGTTGGTGAAACTTGCTTACGTGCTTCCTCGAGAGAGTGTGCTTATAGCTTAAAAGCTCATATCCTTCCTATTCACTAAAAATAGGTTGGAAAATAGGGAAAGTTAAAAGAATTAATTTCGTGAAAATTGACTTTGATGATGTTAACAAGACAATTTGATTTGTATTTTTAGTTCATTGAAGAGAAGTAAAAAAACGAATGCAGCTAGAAAGCTGAAGTTTCTTAAAATGAGGTGGCATCTACGTAAGTACTGTGTATAGGAATCGCTAAGTAAATAAAAATAGAGATTTTCGTTCCATGGGTCTCTTTTAACTTTCTCCGTCAAATATGTATCAAACAGACGAATTTACAGTAAATTAAATTTGTACATGAAAGTATGTACATTCGTACACTAGGGTGGTCCAGAAAAGTAAAGTCGGAATTTTAATGCTTTCACCCGTAAGATTGTTATATATCGCAAGAAATATACCCTTCCTTTTTACTTATTTTGAAATCGAAAACTGTTTAGAGGTTGCTTTTATTTATCCCCACGCAACCCCGCAATGAATTTTTTTTGGTTTTTGGTGAACCTATAAAATATATTTACTATGAAAAATTGGTCAAATAAATAATTCGTTATTATTACTGGGAATCTCCTGAAAAGAAACAGAGTTTTCCGATCGAAAAATGTGACTTTGAGCATTTTGAGCCACCCCTAAATATGTTTTGATTTCAAAATAAAAAAGGAGGGGTATATATTTTTTAGGTATAGAACAATCATAGGGGGTGTGAGCATAATTATTTCGACTTTACTTTTTCACATGACTTTTTGGACCACCCTAACGTATACCCAAAGGTATGTACCATACAAATATGTATTCAAGCAGCACCCTGCAGTGAAAAGCCAAACCAGTCAGTAAAATTACCAGTTAATTAACTAGTATAGCTAAAGCAATGGCCTACTATTTCAGCTAAATACGCTTTTGAATTGTCAAAGCCAAAAAGCGTCGCATGAAGTCTACCGGTTCTCAAATCGCAGGTTTGAAATAAATATTAAATATTTAAACAATTTCTTTTCAAATAAACTAAAATTTGCTTGGAGGTGGTTCAAATTTTTCAAATCAATAAAAGATTATGGCAATTATTTAAATTCGAGGAGAAACCTAAATAGAAATTACATTGCGATTCCAAAATTTTTTTTTTTTCATTAAATTTGAGAATTCCTTTAAGTTTCAAGTAAAAAAAAAATACATTAATAAGGAAAAACATTTTCCGGTACCGAAGAATCGAACATCTGATCTCTGGAATGGCACGCTGGTGCTTTGCTCTATCGAGCAGTGCAACATATTTATTCCTTTCAAGGGGATGAATTGGCAAACTGTCCCGTAAACTGGTATAATGCTACTAGTATTTCTACTGGTAGGTGCTGATGCTTAACCAGATAATTGACATTCGGTAGGACCACCGCCATGTTAAAAATACCAGTCGCTAATATTGAAGAAGGATAGAAAGTGAACTAGTTGGGCTGAAACGCAAACTGGTATCATTCTACTTCACGACTACAACCATTCACGGCAAGGCGCTTTACTCAATGAAACCACATGATGCCCATCTGGTTTAACATACATATATATACTACATACATACATACATATGTATAAACATCCGTGCATTAATTTACAAATACTTCTATATATTTATCGGTGGCGGCAATAAAAGAGAAATCATACAAACTTGCTGTGGCTAAGAGAGAAAAGTTTACGCTCTTTCTAGTAAACTTTTGGGTAGTTTTATATGCGTATACAACATTAACATTTGACATTGGCCCAATCGTGTGCTGTCGTATTGTTAGCGCATGTTTTTATGAAAGAAGTTTTCAATGTGATAAATCTTAATTTTAAGGAAATATTTGATTTTTAATTGTTAAATCAAATTTAACTTTTTCGATTATTTGCTTAAGACTGTAAAAAAATGTTGGTTATGGTTTCAAGTCCTCGAAACATTTATTTAAACTTTTAAACTATACGACATACAACAATGCGACACTTACTTACGACACCGTTGTGTAACCCTCAACTGTTTCCTTTTTTATTTTTTTCACGAACTCTTGGCAAAAGTTGCCTAGTAAATAAAATTTAGACTAATCTCTAAAGAAATCATAACATTTCTTTTAGACCGCGTTACTTTCTTTGCCAAGCTTAATTATTTCTCAAAATTTTCCAAATGACCCAGCATTTAGACAGCTTCCAAGAAAAAAAGCTCTCACCTCCGGCAACACCACCGCAAACAGAGCCGAATGCTAGTGAAAGCAGTACAGTGATAAAGTGCAGGCAAAAGAGAACTTTCAGTTGTTTGCCAACGTTCTAAGCGTGTTGGGGACACTTTACTTCGCACCGTGGAGCTTGGCCAGCCGCCGCGGCATAGTAAAGCGAAGCAAACAAGCGAGCGAGCGAGCAAGTGAATCCGATATAACTGCATGGAGCCCCAGTGCTAGCGCCAGCACCAGTGAGCTCCCCGGTGTTTGGGATTTGTTGTGTTACATATCCACTATATAAATAAAGTATAAAATTCAAGCGCGCGCTTGTGTTTCTGTGTGTGTGTGTGTGTGTGTGTGTGGCGTTCATGCAAAGTGGAAAATTAAGAAGAAAAATAAAAGCTTGTAAAAGAGCAAAGTGACAAAGTGTGTGAATAAGCGCAGTAACGCCAGTACCATCCAGCAGCAGGAGTAGCAGCAAAAGACTACGCAAAAGGTTTTCTTATAATTTTTGTTTAATCGAAGAAAGTGAAATTCTCCTTCCCCAACTGCTTTGCAAAAAAAAAAACAAAGCTCTTATTGAATGCAAATAAAGAAATTCAATCCAAAATTAAGTGAAATTTGTTTGCATCGGCATTCGCAAAATTGGTGAAGTGAAGTGGAGTGGAGTGGAGTGAAGTTATCGTTCGATTCGTTGTTGTATTGCTTGCTGATAGCTGTTTTGTGAGCGCGTCACGGTGTAAAGCGGTAAAATAAGAGGTGGGCGTGTGAAAAGCGGGTGTGTCGTTGCCGTTGCTGGTGTAGTTACAGGATTCGGGGTGAATATGGCGCCGGGCGTATGTGTAACAAGTTTCCGTATGTTAATGCGGCGAACGGAATTGAGTAGCCATCTATGCCGTGGACTGCGGCTAACACCAACCGGGCCGTATTTGCTGGTAAGTGGAGCCACAAAAAACAAAAGAGTATTCTCTGCACTGCAGTTGAAATATTATTCGAAGCCAGAAAAAAAATGTGATCGCATGTGTTTTCGCTGTTTTTTTTTTCTTGTGGTTCTCTTTTTGTGTTTGGTTCACTCTCCTTCATTCAGCTGCCACGCCAAACGCATCTCTCAGCTGCCAGCTACCTTAACGTTTTTGGCATTGCACTTCATCGACTTTAGGCAGAAGGTTAACGACTTTCAATGCTCGTTGGTGCCCATTGAAATCGGGGAATGGAAAGCTATGTTCCAAAGATGCGGCACCAAAGGTCTAGCGTGTCGCTGAATATCGCGTGGCTGACTATATCGAAAGTATCATAAGGCTAAGATATTTCTGGAAATATACATATATGTGTATATCTATACAATATGTACGTATGTATAAACTATATATATGATTGAGTGTATAGCGTGCAAAAATAGAATCAGCGGCTAGCCGGTTCCATTTATGTAGGTAGAGAACGGGAGAATGTGATTCCATTGCATTATCGGCGACTAGTGCGTTAAAGTCAGGGAGCGGCGGCAGGGGTAGTGTGAGAAGAAGAGGCTAACAATGACAAACAGTGTTGCCGCTGCCTCCTTAGCCTTTATAGTATCCAGAAAAAATTTAAAATTGTATTCAAATCGTCGCCGGGGTAAAAGATTGCCGTAAGCGCAATTTTGACGATTTTTAGTTATAGATGCAGTTATTTGCAGATTTTGAAATAAGATCTTTCGATTGGTGTTATGTGTGTTTAGATATCTCCTTTCGTTTCCGAGATATTGACTAAAATTTTTTCGATAGTTTGGTAAAAATTTAGTTAGTGATGCAGTCATATTATACTAATTAATATCTTAAAAATGGCGTTCTCCATTTTTGGATATCTCCTTTAGTTTCCGAGATATTGAGTATAAAGTGTAATTAATTTAGTAGAAATTTTGATCACATTTTGTCGTATTCCCTACAATGTGGCTGCCAAATTGTAGACAAATCGTCGCCTGAGAAATTGCATTCCAAACTTCAATCGCGATTTCCCACAAGCTGCCGAAATCAACATACGACAATCTTTTACCCAGGCGACGAAATGCATCCACCGAAAGGAGCGGACATTTTTACACGGTACATCTATGGAAGAGAAACTCGGCCCTTTAACAAACTTATTAACATGTAGTCAGTATTTTCCTATACTTTGACACGGATTTGGGAAACAAAGGCCCGTAGTTATAGTCAAAATTAAGTCGACTCTAAAGTTAATTGCAGCTTTTTGACATAATTTTTAATGGGATACCTGTCAAAAAAGCTGTAACTAACTTAAGCTTAAGACTTAATTTTGATTATAATTACGGGCCTTTGTTTCCTAGATCTATTTCTTAGAATGGAAAATACTGACTAAAACGACGGGCCAAAGTTTCCGCATGTTCAATGTTTATTACTGCGATTAGATTCCCACAAATAATACATGCAAAAAATGTTTCCTAGTCTATCAAAATAATACTAATTTAAACTAATTTCGACCTTTTACATTTAGTTCAGTAAATTGTTATTTTCTGCAAACTGATGGATTAGGGCTATCTATGAAATTAAAAAATTCTCAAAATCGTGCATTTGCCTGTAAATTCCGCCTTCAAGCGAAATTTCTATTTCCGGGTTGTTTGAATTCTCGCTTAACGACATATAACTGAAAATTTTTAGTACAGTCAAGTTATTGTTGAAAATTAGTCATCGGCATGGTTGTCAATTTCCTTTGAGTGCTAAGAGAAGGGTTGCTCAGCATGTAAAAGTTGATTTTTTCGCATTACAGTTAACTACTATAGGTCGGAAAACTTTTTAAAATTTGCAAACTACTTGGTGTTATTAAATGCAGTTTATGTAGCTAAAAAATTAATTTTTCAAAGTGGCAAGAATAAAAGAAAATTTCTTGCTTGGAGGATGAGCAGCCAACTGTTAAAAACGTTATAATACCTCGTACATAAATAAAAAAAAATTCCTTCAACCTACGAATACTTATGGGAAAAATTTACACTGAGGAAAAAAACGAAGTATCCCTAAAATTGGAAGGCGAAAATGTATCGAATTGGATACATATGTTTCAAAACGGCAACACTGATGACAAAACCGCTTTATTACTCCATTTACTTACTTATATGTATGTATGTATGTATGTATGCATTTTACACTGGTTAAAAAATCGATTATCTTTGTGAAAAAAGAGACATGTCATAAGCGCAGTCCTTAAAATGTAACAAAAAAAAAAAATTCTTTTGTTATTTATATGAAAATTAGAAATTCGTGCTGAGCGAGCTCTAAATCTTAGTATTGAGAGCTACACTTTTGACAGGCGTCTTTTTTTACTGTCCCAAAAATTATTCGCATGGGATTTTGAAAAAGAGTTGATCTAATGTACCTACAGCTAGTCAATAAAGTTTAGGAACAGTGATTTTTTTTTACGATACGGGCGACTATTTTTTAAATATTTTATTTTTCGTTAATTTTTTGTAAAAAAATATGGTTAAGTCCTCAACAAAATAAGAGTTCCATACCTTGTGCAAAATTAAACAAAATTCTGCAAAATTTCATTCAAATATTGCACTTTTCATTTACGCTCTCTAGAAAAAAGTTGAGTGCGCAGTTTTTTAGCCATTCAATTTTAATATAATAAAGTGCACGTATGAGGAAGCTGGTACTTATCATTGATTTTTGGCATTTTTTTGTTGAAGGTGTCGCACATTTTTTCCATATAAAAAAATTGTCGAACATTATTTTATATGGAGAAAATGAGCGACACCTTCAACAAAAAAAATCTAAAAATCAATGGTAAGTCGTAGCTACCTTGAACTTGCACTTTATTATACTAAACCTGAATGGGCTAAAAAACTGTTAACTCCGATTTTTCCTAGAGAGTGTAAATAAAAAGTGCAGTATCTGGATGAAAATTTGCAGAATTTCCCTTAATTTTGCATAAGGTTTAGAACTCTGATTTTTGAGGATTTTGTTGTAGAATTAACCATATTTTTATAAAAACTTAGCGAAAAATTGAATATTTAAAAAATAAGTTGCCGGTATTGCAACAACTTCGCTGTACCTAAACTTTATTGACTCTCTGTATATACATAAATGTATGTACATACATATGTGTTTTTGTATGTATGTATATATACATACATAAGTATATGGAGAAGATGTACATATGTAGTTAGCGAAGAGTTGTGAGCGACTAAATACATGAAATAAAAGAGAGTCTGATTGCGAGCGCAAAGTAGAGCAGAGCAGTATAAAATTAATGTACGAAAGTGGGGGAACAGGCAATTGGCTGGCTGGAGTCTCAAATGTGTTTTTATTCTTTCGGCTTTTTTTTTCAATGTTGATGGGAAATTTTTAGATATGTTTATTTGTCTTTTTTACGCTGCTCCTCATTTTGTTAGCTTTGGTGTCAAAGGTATTATAAATATGCCGGTGTTTTTTTCGAGGTGTCTACAAACATACATTCACTAGCCGTAATTTATTATTATTTTTTTCGCCACACGTGTTTATTTGTCTTGCTTAAATTAAGTTGCTAGCAGTGCGTAGTGGTGGTAAATTAGTTGAGAGTGTTGTGTTTCGTAACTATTTAAATAATTTTTTTTTTTTACTCAAACGTGTTAATTCGGGTATCACCATGGGTTATTGATCGATTACATTGCTATCGCTGCATGTTTGCATACAGATATGTATGTATATATTCATAAGAGCAATTCTTATCTCGAATTCTCATCTATGTATGTATATGAGTAGATACATATGTAAATAATACTCACAATCACAAATGATTCACTTTTTACATATCAACATGCGGTATAAACTTTTATTATAAGTATGAAAAGGTATATATGTACATAACTATTGCAAAACACTATTAGTGAAAAATTTGTTTCACAACAGTCAGATGTTTGGATTGAAAACCAATCTTGATGATTTTCTCAGTACAAACTGTGTGACTAATAAGTTAACACTAGAAATACGGACGTAGGTCATTTGACTCATTTTTCTATTTGACTGCCAATATTTCTTTTTTTCTAAATTTTTATTTCGTGCTTTAATGAAAAATTCATAAAATTTGGATCCCTAACCGCCAACAAGACGTAAGAGAAATTTTTTTAAAAGTATTATTTTTGATACAGAGGTAGTAAATAGTTCTTAATGCTCTAGGAACATTTCTGCATCAAAAGGAAATTTTCGAAAAAATGTAAAAGCATAATTGTTGTGTTTCAAACTTAAATATATAGTATAGCTACTTAAAATGACTAAAATAAGAAAATAAAAATTTAGGTTGAAATTTTATGTTAAATATATTATGAATAAAGAATTTTTAATTTAAAATTATACTTTTTTGTTACTAAAACTAATTTTAAAAGAGTTGGGTCAAATGTCTCCTGTCCGTTTTTCAAAGTATGTAAGTCGATTTTTCAGGGTTTCTAATATTGAGGACTTACAAGATTTGAGAATATTTTTTATGACTGGCAAGCAAATAGTTTACAAAGTTTTACGATTTTAGTTGTTTTATACAAAAAGAAAATCTGAACAATAGTTGTTTTTTTTTCTGTGAACTTTCTTCTCACTATAATTAAACAGAGTGCGCAATTCCATGGACACCGTCCCAAAAAGGCAGTAAACAGCTTAACAAAAAAAAAAACAAAACAGCATCAAAAATCTCATTATTATGATTCCGTTGATACAATTTTTCACTTTTTGTATGTAGATTTTTTTAAGCTTAAACCTTTTTGTCATCTGAGGTATTTTTTCAAAAAGATTTTATAATTCCAGTGGAAAATCAGTACCATTTTTTTTTGTGGGGAGTGATGCAGTCTAATGTACATGCATACATATAGCAGCAATTAATTTCATTTAAAGAAATGGCTTGTCGTCCATTTCCCCTGTAGCGTATGTAGTGCATATTTTTAGGCGAAATATTTAACTTCTTCTGGCGGGGCGACATCTACCTC